GGTGGTGGTGGTGGTGGTGGTGGTGGTGGTGGTGGTGGTGGTGGTGGTGGTTATAAGGGCTGGGACCATTGAAGTCAGCTCTCGCTACTGGTAAAGTGTTGATGGTAAAGCTGTAGTGTCAGTCAGGAGATGGGATGTCAGGCTAGACCAGCTTGGCCTTGATCGCCTCTCCTTCCTCAACATGCCCTGCAGGGAAGATATGTTGGGCAAGTGGAAACAGCAAAGACACATGTAGAATGCCCAGATTCTTGTTATTGACCCATTTGAATCTCACCCCCGGAAGCCCTAAGGATCTTTTCTCAACAAACATGTGATCTCCAGATGGGACTGTCACCTCCCCCTGTCCAGCTGCTGGAGGTATCTAGGTTCTGTAGCTACTGATGCTACTTACGTTGGGAGGTATGGGAAATATCAGAAAAGAGGAAACTTTAATAAATGTAGGGTTTCAGTAATTATGAATCTTAGTTAAGACCTGGAGCCTGACATAAAAAGATGAAAAATCGTCAGGATTCTCTGATATTGGATATTCAGAGCTCAGTGAGGTCATCACTAGAGATCACTTTGAAGCTGATGTGGCCTTGCTTGACTTTGGCAGTGGGCCCACCCTTCTTACGCAGGTACAGAGATTTCAGATCACGGCAGTCGCTGGGGTCAGCATCAAGAGTAACCTGTCCCAGGAACTGATCACAGAATTTTCTGCTGTTCCAGACCTGAAGAGACAAATAAAGAAAATGAGGAACAACAACCAACCATGAGACTGATGCATCTAGTGGCATCTACCTAGCATGTACATCAAGAGACATTCTTAACTTTTCCTGGTAGCTATTTGATTGAGAAGATAATGTCCCAAGCAATATAGATGAAAGTAGATCAAGGGATCATCTTTTATTTGTGGGTTTATTACATAAAGACAGCTGATCAGAAGTATTCTCAGAAATACTGCCAAGTTAAAGTTATCCATACTGATCTAGCAACATAGGAGTTAGCAGAACTGGCAAATACTTCTATTCATGGGACTTTATAGTACAAGTGTTCACAGGTGTACTCATGAACATGTGGTCATGTGCCTATTGAAAATTAGGTCACGTGTAAGGTGACATTAAGGTAAAGATGAATAATGAAGTTGATGTTTTGCTAAATGAGAAGTGCTTTGAGTACTAACTAAGTGCATAACAGAGAGCCTTTGCTCTGCATCCTAAAAGTACAAGGTACTTGGGAGACTATGATATGTGGTAAAGAACATAAATTCCCCAAGACACCTTGTTCAGTCTTACCTGGATGATAATAGGAATGTCAGTGGTCCTTCTGTAGAAAATGGCCTGTGTGTCAAAAATGGCATGCACAGTATTCTTCTGGACGGGGGAACGGACTTCTTCCTTTCCACACTTGATGACCAGGTACGGATTTACAGCTGGAACAAAGTGGCATTTGTTTTTTAACAGAGGGGTTAATGTTTCCTTTCTAGAGGGGAAAGAAGCTATGACTTCACGAAATCAAGTCTGGAAATTTCCACATAACTGGAGCACCACAATGATGTAGAACGCAAGAATGTTCGTTCTCTCTTCCCTTTCCTTTCCCATATATCATATAGGGATAGAAAAGTGACTGCTACACAGACATTTCCCAGCAATGTTCACGTTCCATTCTCTAAAAGGGTTGAAATCTCTGGACTAAAAATACCAATGGAGATAACCGTTGTTGATAATGTGTTCTGGTCACATATGCAGTAACTGAGACAGCAGTTTGCTTTCCTGCACACCCCTGCCAGTCTTACTTTCATTGGCGTACTTCTTCTCCAGTCCCTCAGCACTGTGAACAGTGATCTGGGTAACCACCTTTGGGTAGCCACGTGCCAGGTTCCAGCAAGACATCTTGGGCATGTCCAATGTCAGCTCCCTAGAACATAAAAAAAAAATGTGTCACCTCATGATGAACTGGACCTGCCTAAACAGACTTCCCTGTAGAATCATGTAAGAATCTGAGTGACATATCCTATTCCTTCACAGGCATGGCTTATATTTCTATGAGGGTGTTTTCTTTCTCTTTTCTTTTCTTTTTTGCAGACCTGACACTTAATGATACAAGAGGGTACAGCTGGAGAAAAGTGTAGTTTAAACTACCCAGCACTGAGAACAAGACAGAGGAGCCCAGTGACTCAAAAAATATAGAATCAACCAGAGAGATGAAGATAAATTCCAAGTGACAGAGCTCAAGTGACAGATCCCTTCCCCTTAAATCCCGGAGAAGAACTCTAAATCTCTGATCTGTGTTGGAGAATTTTCCATAACTCTGTTCTGAGAAATGTTTTGATCACTTTTATTTCAATTAGTGAGGTCAAATTTGAGAATATTGTCTCTTCGACTGTATGAATAGAAGAAAATGGGTGAAAGGGTTAGACTCGGAGGAAAAGAGAGCAAGGGTTTGCAGAGCATCACAATAAAACTGAACCTGAGCTGGACAGGCACTTCAGAGAAGATTCTCAGCAGAAACTCGCTGGTGCGGCCATGCTGGAACATGGTTGGAACAAGCACATAGTTGCCCTTCTTCAGATACTTGCTCAGAAACACAGTACGGGTGTCGATATAAGTGGAAGTCCCAGCACGCTCCTGAACATACAGGTGGTGAAGGCGGAACCTGCGGTTCATCTCCACCTAGAAGCAAACCGAGATTTCCATTCTGTTAAATTCAGAGCTTGTCTGTTAGAAGGTCCTCCTTCTGCTGTCCTCTTTATCCCTTCCTAGTTTTCCTAACTCTAACCCTTCCTAATGTAGCCTCTGAATGCTCTGATTTTTTCTGATCTAAATGCTATTCTTACCTTGAAGAGCTCAAAGCCAATAATGTAATTGTCAGGTCTTCCCATTCGGCGATAAGTGCGTAGGTCCTTCTGCTGCAGTGACATTATGACCTTATGACCATCCTCAGGCACAGTGAAGATGTACTGAGGGAAATTCATCAAAGAGATGAATTAGTACTCCGATTTAAGATAATCAAATCTAAATTTCAGGGAATAAAAATCTATAATGGGAAACAGGGTTCATTTCTGGACTTTACTATTGACCATACAATGATATCACAGAAAATTAATTCACTGCTAAGTAAAGATCATTATACTTGCTTCTCGCTGTGACATCCGGCATGTACTGAGAGGCAACTCCATTTTTAGGTCTTTGGTGTGAAAGAGGGTAAGTTTTAATATGTATGTTCCTGAAAAGTTAATCATTTCGTCTTATTATAACCCTGTGTTTAAAGTTATATAGTGAAACATTTCAGAATTCATAAAGACAGAAAGCATTCATAATTCACTCAACCAGGCTTTGCCATATAGCTCTGGGTTGACTTATAAAGCCAATCCAGACATATGAGCAACCCAGATAAGGACCTCAAAGGTCAATCTTGTGTATATACATACAGAGAAGCCATTCCCCCGGTTTGTTATAGTTACTTAGTACCTGAAACTTGTATAGGGTTCTAAGTGAGAGTCATTTTGGTGAGGAGTAGCAATTATAAAGTTTCTGTAGGGACCATTAAGAAGCAAAGGGCAAAGAAAACTATGAGTTAAGGAAACCAGTTTCCCAAGCCTCAGTATTCTCCAAATTGCCTGCGCAATAAGATCTGTAGGAAGAAGAGACATGTCTATGGGCAATGAGGCCATAGCACAGCCAGAGTGACATCTGCTGTGCCTTAGCCCATCTTCATATGGGCCATTATAAATTCAAGCTTGGGATGCTCGTGGGAGTTTTGCTGTTGTTTTCTTGGGATGTACCTGGTCTGACCACTTATAATGTCACCGATAATAGGATGGCGGTGGTACATAGCTGGAAGAAGAAGCTGGCAGGGCAGTGATTTCAATCCTGAGAAAAGAATTGCCTCATTCTCAAAAGGAAAAAGCAAGTTATAGTAATGGGTTGCGTAAGTGTGACCTATACGAAAAGAGCTAACAGTGTGATGTGTGTGTGTGTCAGGTAAATAATTAAACAGTAAAGACAGAGAGGGGGAACTGAGACCACATATAGAAGCAGATCTCTCTGCTGTGTGTGGCCATCACCAGCAAGCAACAGTTACAAGCTGTAACATTTACAACAGGAGGAGGCAGCTGGAGAACCTAACTTAGGTTTGAAAATGTTGCCAAGGCAAGTCTCCCTAAAGAGACCTGGTCTTCTGGGTCTTATGAGCATCTGAGTCAATCCCTGGGAGTTGTGGTTGAAGAATAGTACACAGGAGATTCGAAGACCTGATGCTAAATGAATACTCTAGGGAGGACCAAAGCAAGATCTGGATTCTTATTGACTACCTGGGTAGCTTGGAGGCAATGGAAAATAATTGACTCTAACCTGAGGATTCTGCAGGAAGGTATCACGGTTGTTATAGCAACCTCCCGATCGGTTCATCAGAGGATCATCATCCACAGTCCAACATCCCACCACTGATTCCAGTTCCTTGCGGCCAAAAACAGGGTTGTTCACATTGCGACAGACATTCAGTTTCTGAAAGTTGTGGCAAAAATCTTCCAGACTCATCCTAAAAGGAAGGAACAGGGAAAGAAATGAAGATTGGTCTTAGTATGTATTTCTAATAAGAAAACCAAATTCCTTCTTGCAGAAAGACTTCTCACCAAAACTCTCCATCATCAGACATGACAAGTCCCAGGTTCTTGCGATCTGTTACAGTCAGTTGCTGCCACTCTTCAGAACTGAAAGCAGGTAAATTATAAACAGATTAAGTCATTATGGTTTCCCAGATGTCAAAAGATGCCAGATGCATGAGGACTAGGTCTGCCTTGTTTTAACCTGGCTGGGTTGCAGACCCCATGCCTGACTAGAGCTCAGAGAAGTCTCTGTTGTTTGACGGCCTCCTGGCGATCTAGAGGGATAGGTTTGGGAGAACTACAGATTTGGAGGTGTAGGGATGAAAGTGAGATGCCACTCACATTTCACTCCAGGGGCCACTCCATTCTTGTCTTCCCAACGGGTTTCTCAGGCGAACCATATACAGCTTCTCAGCACTAAAGACTTCCACGAGTCTTTCTCCGAGGCGGAGCTTGCGAATATCAGTCATGGTGTAGGTATGGCCCTTCAGTAGTCCCCAGTCTGTTTCAACTTCTTGTTCTTCCTGACTGGGAGACTGGTAGCAAAGAAAGATACATTAGGGCATAGGATTTGGGGAGACCCAAGTCCTGGACTCTATTCTCCCTTTGTTGCTTCATCCTGACATGACCAAATCAAGTTCTCCCTATGCAGATGGAAATTTGACCCTGATATCTAACCTATCACAAACATAAGTGAAAGAGAGAAAATAAAGTAATATAAGAAGTTATTTTAAAAGTTCAAATTCCAAATAATCACTGTCCTACATTAATATGAACTGTGACTTAAAAATATGGTAGGGCAGATTCATTTTTGAGGGAACAGCTAGAACTTAAATATCCAGGAGCCAAGATAAGAGTAATAATTTACCAGAAGCTATTTACACCAACTTGGATAGTGCCTTGGCACTCAGTGGAATGTCTGAAGTTCATAAGGATAAAAAGAAATTAATGTACCTCAGTATCCAAGCCAGTACTTCACACCTATGTTAGCTCTCTGAGTTTCACTAATGGCTCTTTTTGTGAATCTCTGAGTTAAGTACAATGTTCCTTGTTAAATTTTGTTGTCTTTTTTTCTTTTTTCTTTTTTTGGCCAGGAGTGTTTTGGGTGAACACAAACCTCAATGGAGCAGCAAATTAGGCCTCCTTTGGTGAATGTTTTGTACAGTTCTCCGAACAGCTTGTACTTCTCCTCAACAAGATCAGTGTATCTTCCTTTCTGCATGTCAACGATTTCAGCCAATGTGCCCGTGAAGTCCATGATGATATCAGTAATGGTCAAACCATCCAAGGCCTCATAACAGCCTAGCAGTCTGGAAGCAAGTATGCAGCGTTATCTTGGTGAAATTATTTATCCAGGTCAAGGACATCATGTTCCCAAGAATTAAAACTATCACTGCTCAGCCTTTACCAGCTGGCTTTTCTCTGGATATGAAGTGGAAAATACTTTGAGATTACAATTAAAACTCTGGGGGCTTAGGCAATGTTGATAAATGTTAGTTCATGTAGAAACTTCTTTCTACAAGAAGATGACAGACAAGGTTAAAAAAAGAGAAGAGAACTCTTTTTGGACTTTAGATTAACAACCTGAAAGGTTACCTAGCAGACCTAGAATTTAACAGAAGAGCAGTTGATCCTCTGATATCCATGAGTCATAATAGGCAGACCCAGGGCTAAAGAAATGTCTTAAATCTTACTTAAATGCAGTCCAATTTTAACTCTGGGATTGAGTGGGAGGGAATGCATTCCCAAAGACAAATATGATCTTTCTTCATGTATCATGACCACAGACTAATCAAACCCCTCCTTACTTTGCATAAGCTTTTTCCAGTAGAGCATTCCAAAACTCATTCATGGAGGTGGAGAATGAGAAGACCAGATCTCCATTGATGGTGGGCAGCAAGTCATCAATCACCACCTCAGTCCATTCTCCAAAATGCCAGAAACGGAAGCGGAAAATTCCAGCATATTTTTCTGGCTTTCGAGGATCCCATTCCTGTTCCTTATGGTTGGGAATTGTCTGTAAAGGTAAGAACATTTAGTCAAGTATTATTCGCAAGATTATATCAAGATATAGAGGTTATAGTGAAGTCCTAGGCAAGCCATATAGCAAATGGAAGCTTTCCAAAACCTAGAGTATGGTGATTCTTCTACAACGTCTGTTTCCACAGGTCAGTTTTACTGTGCGTGAGATTACGACACCTGTCATTCTTGCTCTGAATACAGAGGATACTGTATTCAAGACCGTTGGAGGGGTCCCCATAGATAATAAATAAGCTATATGGTAGACTATCCACATAGATGCATGATCAAATGTTTGAACATGTGAACAAGGCATTGAAAAGAAATATTAAGATCAGAGAGATGGTTCACTGATTGAGAACATTTACTCCATTATCACTAGTCCTGAAATTGGGATCCCAGCATCTATGTGTCCCTACAAATGCTTGTGATCCCAGCTCCTCAGAGGGGAGAGACAAGAGGATTGGGGGGACATTATGGTTTTTAGATTAGAGGAGAAAACATGAATTCTGGCTTCAGGGATAGTGAATAGATTGAGAGTTGAAGAGGACGACACTAAATACCCTCTTCTAGCCTCCGTGGGTATGTGCGGGAGTTCACCCTTCCACATGCACACATGCACTATATACTCATGCAGGAAAATAAGCAATAAAGCAACAATCGTAAAAATTAAAACCAATAAAAACATAATGCTTGTTCTGATTTGCCATGTCTAGAGTTTCATGTAGACTACACAATATGGATTTTAGTCATGTCAACAATAAAAACACATTTTTTGTTGTAACAATAAAAACAATTCTATTGTAACATTTGCACATAAATATTTGAAATTTGTTTTTATTAGGAGAATGCTTATTGTACCAAAGAAAATATTCTTTGTTGTTTTGAAATTTATCAGAATATTAAGGAATTTTTGTGCTATTAATAATTTATTAGGCCCCTTTCAAAGATCCATTTCTGTATTTCTCACCTTTTCTGTTATGCGTCTATGTGTTAATGACTTCCTGGCTCCTACTTACTCCAAATTGGTAGAGCAAATTGGTACAAAGACTACAATTTGAAGGAATATGAAGTCAAAGCATTACAAATGGCAAAAAAAGAGCAGCGAGTATATGTGACAAAGAAAGGCCAGCAAAATGCCAGTGTTAGAAGAGAGTTGGTTTAGATTTTCACTGTAAAATTTGGCTTGTCTACATTTGTGAAAATTCTTATTAACAAAAATTAGTCACCCTGATACTTCTGGCCTCATTAAAAAAGGTAGAAACTGATGTTCTGTCAAGTTATTCAAGGAGAAAGTGGAAACAGACTAAGAGCCCAAAGAAAAGACAATACCTTTGTCCAGTGTGACTCTTGAACGGCCAAGCAGGAAAATGCAGGGATCATTGATTTGTTCCCCAGTCTTCCCTGGATCAGCTGGTGGTTGCTGATGTTGCCCACAATCAGATGGGGGTCATCAGAAATGTCCTGGGGATATAGAAATTTGTTATGCAGAAGTCTGGGAGGAGATTTTTAAGTGTCATTAGAAGCTAAGCTAAGCAGAACAGCCTATAGAGGAAACAGGGTTAAGTGTGGCTAGGATTTTTATAGGTGGGATAAAGGGAAGGTTAGAGAGATTTGTGGTCAAACACAAAGCCGTGGAGTGGAGAGTGTATACACAGAAAAATGACCGTGTGGTGAATAGCTGAGGAAATGGGATGAGAGAGCTTGGCCTGTGCTGCTGGAAGGCCTTCGTCATTGGCCTTTGGAGGCATTTTTTACCACAGCCGTGAAGACTAGAACTAAGAATTAGCACACTGCATTTTCATCTCATTTTTGTCAGGATGAGATTTTTCCCTGAAGTGTCTGTCCTTGGAAGGGCAATTACCTTTAAGAGACAAGGTCTGACAGAGGTGAACATTAATGCCTCTCCCTCTCTAGGAAAAATGAGTTAGGAGACCATATAGGAAGCCCTTTTCTAACACAAAGCAAAACCAACAGCAGTTTCCATGACAACCCGCTTTCCCAACCCCCACCTTTGTATGAACATAAATGACAGCAGCATTAACAGCAGGTGTTAATAAGCCTTTCACAGGACTACTTCAGCAGGCATTGTCTCCATGGTGTATTTTCCAAAAGTATCTGGCCAGAGAGTGGGAGCAGTATTTGTTAGGGGAATACATGTGTGTTTTTACTTCAGAATATCATTAGCTGGGTCATTCCCATTGTGAGCTGGAAAGATGAAAGCCAAATAATGTAACTACCAAAAAAAATGTGAGGAAAGCAAAATGGAGCTATTTTCAAAGTATGATCAGTGCCTAGAAAGAAAGAATTTCCCAAAGTCATCTAGTGATGGAAGGGAAACTGTAGTGGGTGGTTAGATACTTGAGATGACTACTGATTGGTTACTGGACAAGGGAGAAGCATTGAGACACCGCAGATGGAGCTACAGGCATGAGCAAAGGCATAGCACTATACATGACATTATATAATTGCAGGCATGATGTGGTTCAGAGCATCAGCATTTGTAGAGTTCAAAACCATCAAATCTCAATTAAGTCTTGATAAATGGAAACAGTTTTATGGAAGGGGCTGTTGGCCCATAAAATGACATTCTGCATCCCCTGCTGAAATAAATCCCAGTTGCAAATGGAAAGAAAATCTAGATCCACATCCTTTAAAATTATTAAATAGAAACAGTTATTTTTTCTGGTGTATAATGTCGATTTTTTTTAATGAATATAATTCTCCTTGATGAAGGGTCTGGTGTTCAAAATGAAGAATTCCAAATATCTGTTAAAAGCCAAAACAGTTCTGGAAAGAAATAGACATTCTGGGCAGGGATACATCCAAACTGAAGATTAATTGGGCATCAACCTGTCAAAAAGAAAGAATTATGTGGGTTGTCAGCTTTGCATTTTCTGGCCTTTTTCTTTTTGTTGTTGTTGTTTAAGATGCATGTCTGGGGCCTTATTACTACCTTTTATCTTAGGAGACTACTTCTATTTTATAAAATACTTTATGGGCTGTCAGCTGCTTTTTCTTTTCATTTTCTTAGCACACAGAGCAGGTGTACTAGATGAGTTAGGTCGATGTGTCTTCTTCCCTCTGCTTCCTCTGTTTTTCTAAGATGAAATTAATAAGCACCATAATTCTTCCCTTTGGTAGACATTGGCACTTTATTTGGAGCAAAATGTAAAGCTATACAATAATTTCTTGGATACAGATGAGACATAGGATTGTTTCCTGGCATAGAAAGTAGTCAAGTGAGTATTGATAAGTGAATAAATGTTTTTTATGTATTTTAAGGCAAATTAGTTGCTGGTTTTACATAGTGTTACTAGGGGTTGAAGTTATTTTGCAATCTGCTTAATTTAGATAAGCAGGAGTCTACACCCAGCCAATACTTTTAATGTGTGAACTTTTACTCACAAAAGGGAGCAAAAAGACACACAAGCAGATTCAAAATGAGGAACTGAGTGATTAGTATCTGCTTTGTGTGAATTGGTTATAGTTATTATTAATAGCCTGTATTACAGCCTTATTTTACTTCAAAATTCCATATACAATACTTAACAGTGGATTTTTAAAATGTAATAGCAGTCATCAAATATCAAAAACATGAGAAATATTAGAGACTACCTAGTCACTTCTTATTTTACTGATGAAGAAAACAGGTCATCAGATAAGGGCGGCCACTCAAGTCTCTTGTTAATTAGTCAGTCATGAGGACATCTAGGTTTAAAACCTTTGATTCTTCATAAAGGTGTAATATTAGCTGGGCGCACGCCTTTAATCCCAGCACTCGGGAGACAGAGGCAGGCGAGTCTCTGTGAGTTCGAGGCCAGCCTGGTCTACAAGAGCTAGTTCCAGGACAGGCACCAAAGATACAGAGAAATCTTGTCTCAAAAAAAACCCAATAAAATAAAATAAAATAAAAGTATAATACTAAAGAAGGGACCCCAAGACTTCGGCTGACCCATTCCTTTATCTTTAAGCTTATCAATGGCCCTATGTAAGGTAATAATATTGCACAGTTTCCACATAGATATCCATTCCAGTACTGTATAATCTTTGTTCGACATTCCATTTCTCTGCAAGAGTTTCTCAGCTCCTGTTTTTTTTTTTTTAAAATATTGCCAATAGGCCTTAATTTCCAGAAGCCAAGTGACTGAGTATAAATGAGTCTTGCATGACATGCAAGTACCATGATGTGGAAGACAGAAAATAATTCTTTGTAAAGCCATATCTTCCACCTCTTATGTGAAACATTAAGACTACAAAACAGCCAAGGAGGTAGAAAGGATAAGGAGAATGAGCCAATACAAATCTGGCAGCTTTAAGAACTTTTCAGAAATAACTGAAAAATAATGAAATGGCTCTTAAGAGACTTTTTTTTTTACTGTAGTTACACATATATTGGATATCTTTTGTTGGGGTTTGAGAAGGAAGGTTGTAGATAATTTTCTGTAACTCTAAGCTGAGATGCAGAGCACAGATAGGACATTTCAGCCTGAGCTACGCTGACATGGTAAAAGTGGGGTTCAGGAAGAGGCCATGGCTCATATATCCATACTGTCTGGGTGGTTTGAGAGTAGTGAGGAGATGGAGGAGATGCTGTGTGTTCCTAATGGCTCCAGATGTGCTGGCACAGTTGAAATGATTCTTGAACTGAGCTATTTGGCAAAGCAAAATTATTTCTTAGGTAGAGAATACATAATACCAAGAAATTGAACACAAGAAAAGCTGGAGTATTCCCCAAATACTATCATCCCAAGATAAATGTTCTGTAAAGAAAACGTCTTTTCTAGGAAATATATTATCTTGGCTGAACACTGAGGGATGTCTCACTTTTTCTCGCCTCATCCCTATTCCCAGAAACCTCTGGTGGGGATGGGAATTACAATGATGAGATCTGTAGCCCCACATAGATCACTCTATTTGGAACAATTAAATGCAGACCTTTAGCAATTATTTATGCAAGTAACTTTTGATGGCAGCAAGCATTGAGATTCAGAGTAAACCACAAGGAACCACAGTGTAATAAAATATTCCTTATATAACCAGCATCCAGAAAAGTGGAGGAAATTTCAAAAGCACTGTGTGTCCAGCTTGGAGAGCAGATAGGGATAAGGTCAGCCCTTCAATTGGTACTTCATGATTAACAATTTCCAGAAGAATTAGAGGCTACCTGGTATAAAATATTCATTCGGGACCAGAGAACTATGTGAGCTAACCCAAGTAGGCATTATGATATCCTTAGAAATTTGAGCCATCTCTAGATGGGGAGTTTATAGGTAGATCTGGGTTCACAGACCAATGTTCTCTCAAAGATTTAACTTCACTTGCTCAGAATTTTTATTTCTGTGTGAACATTCTATCACCACTACAGTTCCCTTCCTTCAAAGGAGAACTCAGTAAGAAAGCTAGGAATAAGAGCTCAACTTCAATATTCAGTCTAAACAACCAAATCATTACACAGTATGCTAAGTGAAAGAATTTATGTAAGGTTATATAATGAGAATCTATATCACTTTATATAACTCATTAAAATGTAAATTTTTGTTGAAAAACCTACAATAGGCAAATCTGGACAAATGAAAGCAGAATAGTGGTAGCTGGTGAGCAAGGAATAACTCAGTGAAAATAAATGTGGAGATTTATCTTTATTTTTCTCATTTTTTATTTTTATTGACCTCTACATTTTTCTCTGTTCCCCTCCCTGTGTCTCCCCTTTTCTTCAACCCGCTAATTTTTCTCATTTTTAAGATCGTAATAGAACTATATTATTTATTTCTTCCTTTTCCTCCCTTCAAACTTTCCCATACACATCCATGCTCTCTTTCAAATTTCTGGCCTCTGTTTTCATTAATTGTTATTGCATGCATAAATGTATATGTACATATATATGTATTCCTAAATATAATTTATTCAGTCTGCATAATGTTACTTCTAGGAATGTTTGCAGGACTCCCTGTAGGAAAGGCACTTCTCCTATTCCCAGTTCTCCTCAGTTATTTGTGTAGGATTGAGACCTTGTGGGCTTTCCCTGCTCAGTTTGGCAGATCTTAACCAATTGATGCAGCTATTGCTATACAACTGCATTGTGATAATATTTTCACAACTCTATACATATACCAAAAGGGTCACAATATACATGTCAAACATGTAAATTTCATGTGATATAAATTGTTCCCTCAGAACCTTCATCCGGCGATGGATGGCGATGCAGACGGAGACCCACATTGGAGCACCTGACTGAGCCCCCCAAGGTCCAAAGGAGAAGCAGAAGGAGGAAGAACATGAAAAAGCAAATCAGAACGGCAAGGGGAGCGATCACCCACTGATACAAGGCGACTGATCTAATGAGAGTTCACCAAGGCCAGTTGACTGGGACTGAAGGAGCGCTTGATCCAACCAGATTCTCTGGAGGAGGCTGGATTCTCTGAATGTGGCTGGCCCGAAGTCTTTCTAAAAAGCCATTGACA